GCACAAAGCAAGAGAAGAGAGTAAAGAGAGATTCAAAAGCCAGAGAGAGAGAGAGAGAGAGATAATAAACAGAAGTGTGAGTGAGGGAAAAAGAATAATAATAATAATAATATGGAAGAACAATAGAATAGGAAAAATCGCAAAGAGTGAAGGCATCTGCGCCAGCCATTGACAAAGATTCTACCATTCCGAGGACCCCATTCAGCCAGTCTACACCTCCATTGCCTAAGTGACTGGCCAGCTTAAGCTAACTGTTACAGATTTCACTTGCTGATGAAGCCACGTTTTTAGTTTGACCCACCACTGCTAGTTCTTTTCCAACTTGATCCTATGTCAGCTAACATTACCCTCCTGTCGTCGTCGAGGAGGGCGATCGATGGTTAGGCATGCATAACACATGCCCTGATCATGTCTCTCAATCGATGCAACTTCATAACTTCGTTGACTGACTAACTTCCCCTCCTTACTTAATAATCGACCGATGCCTAACCTCAGTATTACATCTATTGATGAAAGCCTGTTTAAAAAGCTTTTAGGTGATGTATGTTAATCGACAACTCACTGAACTACCATAGAAGTATTGACTGTTTTTAACATTAGTGTTAAAAGCTTGGATTGTGTTCCTTCTGATTTCAGATTAATAAATGCTTGTTTTCAAGCATTGGCTTTTTGTAGGGATTTTTTTTGATTGGTTGGTAGATTTCATCATGAGCTGACATCAGTTAGAGAACTATTGGAAAACCTGCAGGGAGTACTGGACAGCTGTTTCGTCCCACTGGTTTGGGACTCTTCATCAATACGCACCCACCGGGACCCGAACCCAAACTAGGAAGAAACAGTTGGCTGCCCAGTACTCCCTGTAGGTTTTCCAATAGTTCTCTAACTGATGTCAGCTCATGATGAAATCCTCCAGCCAATCGAACGCTTGTTTTGTTTTGAAATCCTCATTTAGTGACGCTGCTTGCAAATGAAACGATACTGCCTAGGTAATAAATAGGTCGACATATTCTAAACAGAATTTTTATCATATAGAGCTTTAGGAGAAAAATTTAAATCATGTACATAAGTGTATAGGGAAATATATCAACCCCATAAGTGTTGCAGGCATGTGAATTGGCCAAGATAATATTAGATTTGATTTCGCTCTAACTGATACTTGGACACACAACAATATGTATGACGACTGATCACTTGAATACTTGTTGCCATACTGACCTGGTGAACGTATTATATGATTGTTTTCACATATCATCAATAAATCACGACTATTTCAACTGATGTTGGCGTGTCGTGTACTCATAAAAATTGAATGGCGCAGGCTTTAATCTAGTTTGAGGCTGAATGTTTGATTTTACGGGTCATGTGGGAGAGACGTTCACTCATTATGTTGTGTCTCATTTGTTCCAACAGCTGCTCATCAGTTCCCCCTGTCCTTTTCTATAGCCATTCAAAGTAGAAGATATGAAAAGGCTGGTTGTTTTTGACCATAGTTGTTTGAATTTTATCTCTAGTGTTAAATGGTTATACATATGGTGGAGATAGTCATGAGGTTAGGCGTACAGTGTTAAGCAAACAGGGAAAATCAATCAGTGAAGTTTTGAAGCCACATTGATTGAGATGTTTAGGACAAAAGCCACCCCGAGCAATGTTATCTGACATATAGGACGAGTTTGAAAAATAGTTAGGGATGGTTAAATCAAAACACGTCGATCAGTCCATGAATTTTTTGAATGTTGTTTCGAGCCGACTAGGGAGGTGTACAGTGTCTGGTCGGGTGTTCCTCGTAATGCAAAAACCCGGTGACATGAGATTATTGTTGATATGGCTAAAAGCCGTTCTCTTTGACGCATATGCATTCGCTCTTCGAGATCTATTAAATCCTCACGGTGTTTCCATGTTACTATTCTTTCTCACTCACACTTTTGCTTACTGTGTAGTAATTTTGAATCGACTTACCGAATGACCTTGAAGAGTCAGTCAAATCACCCCTCTTCTAACATTTATCCAATTTAACCTATTCACTAGTTAAGCTTTTTATGAGTTGGAATTAAGATTGGTTAGCTTAAGATTTCGGGAGCTGGCATTTGATTCAGTGCCCATTGGCTGAAACCTAAACTTTAAATATTATTGCCATGATTTTTTGTTGTTTTCCATTCCTTTCCATTCCGGGTGGAACACATGGCTTCAACTTTTGAGGTTGGAAGATTCAGTAGTTATGGTCAGGTTGCTAAGCTCATGCTCAGTCTTCTCATTTTTCCGAGCTTACTATCTGCTAGGCTGGGAAACAAACGCGCACCATTTGCCCTGAAACACCAACTCATATTACCATTTTAACGACATAAGACAAGGGTCAAGCAACAGATTGTTTATTGAGAAAATCAACAGATATTTATTGATTTTTATGCACATTATTATTCGCGTTATTGTTAGCAGAGAAGCAAAGCCTTCTGATTGGTTGTTTTCTTTCTGAAGGTTATCCTGTCATCTCTTTGTGGCCATTCCTTTGAAGGTCAAACCATATAGGCCCACGCAAAGTCTGCCGTGATTGGTTGTTGAGTTAGTCTTTGCTCTTGTGTTTTTTCTCATGACCAAGTTTTGGGAAGTAAACATTGACGTAAATTGCTGTCTACCAATTTTGGCTAGCAGACAGCTCTCACCACACCATGATTTATCTTATTTTTATTCATTAATTCGTTTTAAATATTCTTTTCTAATCATTAATTGTGTTATTGCTATTACATAAATTTCTATGATTGGTTGTTTTTAAGATCAACTGGTAGGTTGTTTATTTAGTTTCTGTCATACTTTATGTTGTTTACACCCTTTTCAACGTATTCATTCCCTTTTGATTCGTATTTCTGAGAGTACATTTGTTCATAGAAAATTAGATTTATTATTGAACGTTAGAAGTTGGTTGTTGTTGTTGTTGTTGGTTGATTGTCAACACTGAGGGGAGCTGATGTTCCTTGTGATACTAGAATTTTTATCGTTCACTAATGAAATCAAAGCTGTATAACTCAACTGTTTAGATGAACAACGAACTTGTTTAGGGTATATTATCTCGTTATTTATGTGACTGTCTCAGATGACTATGTGAAAAGATGAATGGATCGGTATGGAAATCTGCTGCATTCAATAAAATAGACCAAGACCCGAATCTTCACCACTTATATTTACTTACTACTTCTACATAGTTCAGTGAATTGGCGTATGTGTCGCTATTAGCATTTTGAACAAGGTTCACACTTTCATCAACAGTTGCCTTCACTCGATACTGAAGATCAGAAAGGATAAAGGAATAAAGAACTCAGGCAGGCAGTGATCCAAGAACTTATTGCCCAACAAATATGCCGAAAGAGATGGATGTAAGTCGAACACACATTGAGGAGAAGGCTGAGTGGTATTACACTCCGGGACAGGCGCACGCGTGTGGGACCCGTACAGGGAATGATGAGTTCGGCGTCGCTTCGAAGGTGACATGGAGGAGATCATGAAAGGAGGAGGAAATGAAAGCTTGCAAGCAATCATGGAACCAGTTGAAAAAAAGACTGCAGAGAATAGTCAAATGGAGATGAACCGCTGAAGCCCATTGTTCCACTCTCAGCCCAAGGTTTTATATAATAATTATAATACATGACCCTCTAATTTTAGGTATTGTTGAGCGTGTAATTTTGTATTCATATCAGTCTCAGATCATTAATTCCCGCATACCTCTTCGTTAAGTCCCAATGATCATATTTAATTATATGAGGTTGTGTTATGCAATGAAACTGGTTATTATTATTATCATCAGAGATATATCACAATTGTAAATGTTTGCCTATTCAAACTTGTTTCATATAAAGGATTTCTCAGATAAATTAAATGACATTGTCAGGGTTAGTTGTAAAACAATGAGAATCATAATATGAGGCGATGTGTTACTTTTGTCAATTATTTTCCTCATAATTATGTCAGCCTAAGGGAAACATTGCGTGTCTTTAAAAGTGTATGAACGGTTATTACTTCCCGGTTGCCCACACCGTCAAAGTTGATTTCTTCATCGAATACATGGAACAGAAGCAACTTTAGTATTGCAGGACCACAGAGCTCATGCGACTACTGCCTGAGACCAGTCATGCACGGTCTATTTAAGTTGGTCTGTGAAGAGATGTCTCTATGAAGATATTACCGCCAGCTCTATGAACTGCTGCAAGGTGATATGTCAGGATGTACCATATGTACGCTTGACCTTTTTCTAACCCTTCTCCCCCCCCTGAGAGTAGGGAAACCCCTTACTTCTGTTGCTGCATCCCTGTTCGCCATTAATACTGTGGTGAGAGCTGTCTACTAGCCAAATTGGTAGACAGTAATCGACGTTAATGTTTACGTTCTCAAGATTGGTCGTGAAAAAATATGAACAAGACTGATTCAAAAACCGACCACAGCAGACTTTGCGTAGGCGGATACAGTTAACATATAGTTGATCTGAGATTCAAGAAACAGGCACAAGAGATGCAAGGTTAACTTTAAGTGAGAAACAACCAATCAGAAGACTGTGTTTGTTTGCTTAACTGAACTATAATAATGTACATGAAAATATATAAATATGCTTTGATTTCCTTAATAAACGATCTGTTGTCTGACCCTTGTCTTCTGTTGTTACAATACGACTTCGTCCTCAGACTTCCAAATATGGTGTAAGTCGCTTACACAATGATTGTAACTGCTTTTAGTCTAGTCTCTGTGCAGGCGAACTTTTTAGCATGGTAAGATATTTGGGAACATTCGTTTCAACCAGTGTACTTCCTTGGGACATTTCAATATACAAGCTGGACCATCACACGTCATGGTGGCACTTATCATTGGGAATAGTGATATCAGTTAGGTTACCACCATGGGTTAACTGTTTGTTTAAAACTATCTAGGACTTGATAAGCATTGTGGACTCTTAATTTCGTGTAACGGGCTATAAACCACACCCAGTCACTGAGGATCTGAAGTACATGAAGCGCAAATCGAATATGGAACCCACTGACTGAGAGCCTATTGTTAAAGCCAACGAAGTCACATTTCGTAAGTGTATGTTTAAAAATCCAGAATTACAAGAAACTTATGACAATTTCACTTTTTTCTGATGACTATAGATGCTCACAGTGGAGATTTGAGAATTTCATTATCACTGTTACTGTTGGATATTGTCACTGTGCAATGAATTTTTTATGTATTGTTTAACGTATATTTCACTATGAACTCATATCACTTTAGGGACCATTGATAACTAAGCAACTGATGACTTTTTAATGCCAAATCTTACTCTAAAAGTGTAATTAAAGCTCTACAAACCGTATGCTTCAATGAATATTGTTTAAATTGTGAATCTGTAGCTAAGTGGTCTAAGCCCTTGAATTCCAGTCATTGGGTCACAGACTCGAACCCCACTGCTCCATCTGCTGAGGTTCGGACACCCTGGTAGTGAATCTTGTGTAGAACACTTGCAACCAAGAAAGATACTCAATTTCCCTTCTGTTTTTTTCATTTTAGCACTATGTGAATAGTTTCGATGAAGAATTTGTCACTGCAACAATTCAAGCTATTGGACGATGTGCTAGTAGTGTACCACAAATATCAGATGTCTGTTTAGGTGGACTACTTCGATTGATGTCACGTCCAAAAGGTAAGTTAGTTAGTTAGCTGGCTAGCTAATTAGTTCATTTTTACACAGGGTTTCTTTTGTTTTTCTTTCCCGTTGACTGATTGCACCGAAATGGTTGATTTCCGTTGACGTCTTAGCTTCTAGGAGACACGCTTCAACGATATCTAAGAATTAACATGAGGCAGTGGGGTAGATAGTGACTAGCAGTGGAATGTAACCTGTACATTTCGTCTTGTCTAGGACTAATCCCCAGTGAACAACAGGTGACTGTTGTTCTAGCCCAAGTGGTGTTTAGTGGTTGACGCTTTGGCGTTTGAAACGATGGGTGTTGGTCTCGAGTCCCAGTGGTAATATAATCATTCACTGGAGATTGCAGGTACAACCGTACAGCTGACGAGTCCCAAGTAGGAAGAAATGTCCACCGAAGATTCTCATTGCTAGTCACTATCTACCCTGAACATAGATTCAGTCGTGATCAACCTTTTCTCCCACCTACCTATACTACTTTTCAGAATTTTAACTCTGTCTTACTCTATTGTGTGGTTGTGTGTTAATGCATGCATTGAAATTGCTGAGTGTTTTCCAATCCTCTACATCTTCATGGTGTCAATCATTCTACTTATCGCTAAATTCTTATATTCCAATAATTTGACTAACCTACCGATCTACTGGTTTTTACCTACGTTGTTCATCTCACGGTCATTGCAAGGTATTTTGTAAACTACACTATTTTATCTAGTTGGTTCAGTAACGTCCTTTATACGACAGAGCTTGTCCGCTGAATGGGGGTATTTGTAGGTTTAAATGCTACTCTAATTCCTGCTTTAATAAGAATCCTATGTAGGCTTTCAAATGTCTCTTCTTTATGTGTATGGTAAAACTATTATTTATTATTATTCCCTTGGGTTCCGAGTGCAACATGGGGCTTCAACTACACATCTCTTTATTCTATATTCTACAGTTCTCTTCAGCTGACTAGCTTCACGACCGCCCCTAATCTCTCATCTCTTCCTCACACGATCTCCATGTTACCCTAGGATGACCCACCCGTTGATTCCTACTTAGATTCCACTTGAGCGATCGGCTCTCGCCCGTTGGTTTGTTCCTAGCCAGAGTCTCTTGTTACTAAATTCTTTCTGGCCATTTGATCTTCAGTATGGAGCCAGTCAGCGAAGTGGGCATCTGTTGATGAAAGTCTGCAACAGGCTATTGGAAATCCTCTAGGTAACATGCACAGTGTAAGTTTCTGACTCGTATAGAAGGACCGACTTCACATTGGTGTTGAAAATGCGAATCTTGTTCCTTATGTTGATGGCGATGTTTATCTTGCCTTTCTGATTCTGAATGGCTTTGACATCTTCATCCGTGCTGTCCGCCTACTGTGACTGATACGACGATGCTTCCTAGCGAGATAAGTGAAGGCAGGAAGTAACCGCTGTTAAATCTCTCCTGTTGTGATGGTGATTAGTGTTGGTTGTTGTTGTTGTGGTTTGATGGTAAAACCTGTAGAGATGCCTTAAATTCTTTCTTATTTCTGTTATGGTCAATAGTTCCATTACTATTTTTTTCACAGTGTATAATAATAATACTGTACCACTTACTGTGTGCTTTATAAATAGACTTATACTCTGTGTAATACAGTGCCTCAAGATTCTATTCTTTTATTGCGATTGAAACTTTTCTTTTTTTCTCTTTTTTTCTTTTTGTCTGTTTCAGAGAAAATTATGGCAGAGTGTGTAGTTGTACTGAGAAAATTATTACAAATGCAAGTAAGCTAAATTAGTTAGTTTGGGGTGTTGTCTCTCTTTGCTTAAAAATTATGAATTCTGTGCTGACTAATTTCTGTGTTATTTTTTTGTTGTTGTATTTTTGGTATTGCACTCACACTCAATTTACAATGCTTTAAAAGAAAATATCTATACTATGTGAACATGATGTCTATACAGGTGGCTATTAATAATAGTAGTAACGAATTATTAGGCTAAGGCAATCAAGTTTATATCAACTTTGCAATTTTTGTGATTTATGCAGATGTGGAGATGAAATTTTTCAATCACAGCAATTTCCTTTGAAAAGTGAAATTACTCAGAGATCACTGAGATAATGTGATCCGTTTGTTACTACTATAAATGGTCAAGATCAAGGAAGCAGGGATAAAATGTATATTGAGGAATATACTACTTACTGATTGTTTGAGTAGAATAATTAGATATCACTCAAATCAACAACCAGTATTGCTGGCTAGACAGCCAGCCATATCGAAGTGATCTTCACACTGAATAGCCATTTTGGTCGTTTGTAGTCGAGTTTATCAGCAGTGTGCCCGGTTCGTCTCAGGTCAGAGAGTCGAATCAGTTCAAATCACACGAATTTTGGATAGCTACTTGTGTAACTACAGAAGACAAGGGCCAGTCAACAGATCGTTTATTGAGAAAATCAACAGATATTTATAGATTTTTAAGTACATAATTGTCAGTGGAGAAGCAACGTCTTCTGATTGAGAAGCACTAATCTCATTAATGAATTAGGACAGTGAACAACCAATAGGATTCCAAAGGTCATAAGTAGGGTGAGAGAAAGTCAGGTCATAAATCAATAAGTGGGGTGAGAGAAATACAAACAGTCGTGTATAAATGACATGTAGGAAATTCGAAACGAGTAGGTGCGTAGACCGCATATCACTATTTTGCAAGGTGCGAATTAGATTTAAGGTATTACCGGGTCACCCAAGTGTGGTGAGAACTGGCTGCAAGCCAAAATTGTAGACGACAATTTACGTCAGTGTTGAACGTCCCGAATCGGGGTCATGAGAAAAAAAAACAGTGACAAAGTTTAACCCTAAGGAAATCAACAACCAATCACAAACAGTCTTAACGTGGGCAAATACGATTCGCAGATAAATGGCTTAACTTTCTAAGAAACGGTCACAAGTAGTACAGAATAACCTTGAGCAAGAAAACAACCAATCAGACGATGTTGATTCTTCACTGACAATAATTTACATAAAAATCCATAAATCTCTGTTGATTTTCTGATATAACGATCTGTTGACTGACCCTTGTCTTCTGTTGTTACACCATTACATACAATAACTGCTCTATCAGTGTTCATCTCGACTGAAACATTTTCATCGTAAGCTTCACTACAAAGTTTTTCTCTTTTCCTTTGTTGTTGCTGTTGTTGCTATTTTTAGACAACTGATCATAAAGAGATTATCACGCATATAGCACAATTGGCGGATACAATGACAATTCCTACAGCTTTAGCATCAATTCTCTGGTTACTAGGTGAATTTAGTCATCGTGTCCCAAAAATTGCTCCTGATATCCTCCGGAAAATGGCTAAATCTTTTTCACAACAAGAAGCTGTTGTGAAATTTCAGGTAAGCAAAATAAAAGAATTTCTACTTGGACTTTTTTTCTCTTTTTTCATATTTAGTGCGCGTAGTTGCTGGTTTAATTTTTCTGACTAGTATATTTCTGGCTAACTATTATTATTATTATTCTCTTGGATTCCGAGGGGAATATACGGTGTCTCAAAAGGATATATCTCTCTCTACAGGAAACCCGCACATTCAAACAGATATTTGAACATCCGATCATCCCATCCTATGTCAGTTAAAATAGAATTGGTGAAATGTTTAAGTGACAGAGCACAAAACTAAGTAGTACGAAGGAAAATCTAAGACAGGAAGTGAAACATATAAGAGAAGCCTTGAAACTTAATAATTACCCGGATAAATTAGTCAGAACGTATGTAGGGAAATGTAAAGTGAAAATAAATAATGATAGTAATGGTAGCGATAATAATAACAATGATAATGATGACATGCATGTCAAATATGCGCAAGACAACACCAACAATAAGGAATACAAATCACCAGTAGTACTTCCATACAAGGAAGGAACCTCGGAAACCTTACTGAGAATTCTTAGCAAGGTAGGAATAAAAGTGACTGGCATCCAAACTCACAAACTCAATTAGAAACAAGCTTTGTCGGTTAAAGAATCAATCTTGTGGAGCCTTTAAAACAAAACAATTTAGTTTATCTAATGCACTGCTACAATGATTGTCAGGTCAAATACATAGGTCAAATTAGTAGAAGAGGGGCAGTCAGACTAGCCGAACATGAAAACCTAGCAAAATCTAGATTAGTTGACCCGAATAAGATAAGAAATCTAGAGAATAGTTCAGTTATACCACTCACTACATGCAATTACACACAACCATACAGCATAGGATGGGATGGGATAAGATGACAGTTTTAAAATTTAATGTAACAGCAGGGTGGAGGGAGAGATTGATAACAGAAGCTTTGTTTATCGAATCAACCGAAGAGTGTACGTGTAATAGGAATGATTCAACACCTGTCCACCCAGACATATGGAAAATCCTACTACCACGCCTACGACGACAAATAGGAGAGAACGAGGAAAACTATGAAACTCAAGTTTCGAAGTAGTGTGAATATAATTGATATGATTATGAACAATGAATTTTGTTCGAAACTTTGTCATCCAGTAAAGAATAATACTGTTTCATCACTGTGTGATACATCTAGTGAACAAACTAATATGGAATTATCTCTATTTCAATTTGTTCTCCAGAGTCTCTTTTAGCCGACTCTACGATTATTCTGTTGCAAAATGGCTGGCTGACATCTGTGCGCGATGCCTTCCAGTTCGTCGACTGTATACAAGATATGAATGTTACTCACAAAAGTATGCTATCTTTCCACGTTGAAACACTGTTCAACAATGTCCCACTTACAGAAACTGTCTGTTTTATATGTAAATACATAGATTACAACCAGTTCAACATTGGAATGCCAACATGTTTGAAAGAACCACTGCTGAGGTGGTCTACTGTCAATGTACAATTGACTTGCTTTACAGCTTACAATGACACCATCTACAGACAAAAGGACGATACTGTAATCGAATCTCTCTTAGGTCCATTACTAGCAGACTGCTTCATCACTAATCCTGAGCTCATCACCGGTGTAACTGGTCCGACTGAGCCCAGAGCGCCGAATCAGTCTGGGAGAACTTGTCATACAATAAATGAAATTCGCAATTTACATAGTTCGAGGCGGTGAATGTTCACCACAATGGTTTTCCTTGAAAAGCCAAATTATTCAGACCACAATATGTGATCGGCTTGATTACCACTGTAAGTGGAAATCAAGAAGGCAAGCTGAATTGTATAAAATCATATACTACTGATTGATTGATTGATATCAGTAGTTACAATACCATTCACATTATCCGGTAGTGGTTTGATCTGATTCACCTCTCTCTGAGCTGAGTCAAAATGGTTATACGCCACTGATGATGATGACCTCGGCTGCAAGAGAGCGGCTGCCTCCTTGTTTTTTTTTGGGGGGGATCACTTCTGCCCAGCTATCTAGCAAGCACTACTAATTTTTGATGCCGTTAGTTTCCAACTTCTTTATTCACTCCAATCAATCAATCAATCAGTGGTGTGTAATTTTTATGCAATTAGGCTTGGTTTCTTGATTACCATTTATGCCATCAAGTAGATCACATATTGTAGTGATCTGAATCATATTGGTCAATCGCGAGCCCGAATAGCTAGCTCAGTGGTAACGTCTCTGACTGCAGGTGGCACTGGATGACGCGGGTTCGAATCTCAGAAGGGACATGAGTTCCTTCAAGACGGTTGCAGATACGCCTTACTGACTGGTGAGTGCCAACTAACAAGAAACCTAGGTCAGACAAGGCTTCCTGTGGCCGATTGCCTCCAACTATCTAACATCATCAAATCAATGTGCACCGTGATGGCGAGTTACCTAGTGGCATGGTGGCCACATTGCAAACCTGACTGACTGATAGAATTCAGTCTGCACCAAAGAAAGGACTAGACACACATCACACTAGTTAGTTACTAGTGTCCAGTCAAAATATCCACTCCCTTCTCTATCTGTGTAAACTGCAAATTAATTATCAAATCGCCAAATGTGATTCTTTTTCTTCTATATTTTCTTGGTGTCTTTACAGATCATTAATTTAGCCGCGAAATTGTGTATTGTAAATCCACGTCAAACGCATATTCTAGCTCAGTATGTATTTAACTTGGCTAAATATGATACCAATTATGATATACGGGATAAAGCACGTTTCTTAAGAGGATTATTATTTCCACAAATTATAACCAATGTGAGTTACACTCATTTTTTGAAAAAGAGAAAGTTTTATTATTATTATTATTATAAAGATAAAAAAACTTGGTACATTATGGGCACCAAGAGATGGTGAACTAAACAAAATCTCAACGTTTGTTTGAGATCCTCTGGGGGTACTACTGTTCGGATCCCAAGACACGAAGCAATTGGTTGTCTCAAGGGGCTACTCTCGTCCTCCCCTCCGAGACTTGAAGTCTGACCCACAAGACAGTGGATCATAGGTAGGAGTTACGTTCCTTTGGTTTCCGGTGTCCAAAACAGGTTTCTTGATATAAGAATAAAACTTGTGCATTGTGGTAGAGTATAATTCCATTATGGATAAAATTTATTTTGATAAAGTCTTACACAGTGTTGTTATACAGTAATATTTACTGATAATAATCACGTTTCGAGCACAATTTATTACTACTGCTCATTGTCATCATATCAAGGCAGATCTCACTCACGCAACTTTCTAACTTCGTTTATATAATTCCATTATTTCCCTCATCGCTTGACTTGATTGGTAGTAGTATTTTCCATATTTCCAGTATGAGTGATGAGTCATTCCTATTGCATGTGTTGGGTGTAGACTCGATGAACCAGGATTCAGTAATCAACCCCTCCCTCTCCACCTACCTATATTACTTCGTAGAATTTTAACTCTCTTTCACCCTATTGTGTGGTTGTGTGTTAATGCATGCAGTGTAATTGGTTAGCTTTTTTCTTAATTACTTATCTTCCCTGGTGGGGTCAACCATTCTTGCCTTATCGAAACATAAGAATTTAGCTAAGGTAAGAATGGTTGACCCCACCAGGGAAGATAAGTAATTAAGAAAAAAGCTCACCAATTGCACTGCATGCATTAACACACAACCACACAATAGGGTGGAAGAGAGTTAAAATTCTACGAAGTAATATAGGTAGGTGGAGAGGGAGGGGTTGATTACTGAATCCTGGTTCATCGAGTCTACACCCAACACATGCAATAGGAATGACTCATCACTCATACTAGAAATATGGAAAATATTACTACCAATCGAGTCAAGCGATGAGTGAAAATAATGGAATTATATAAACGAAGTTAGAAACTTGTGCGAGTAATGCCTTGATATGATGACGATGAGCAGCAGCGATAAATTGTGCTCGAAACGTGGTCATCAGTAAATATTACTGTATAACAAACACTGTGAAACTTTATCAAAATAAATTTTACCCATAATGGAAAACAGGTTCCTTTTGCATTCAGGAACCCATGGACACTATATGTGTTTGGGACCAGGGTTTTCCAGCTGTCCTCGGTGGAAATGCATGTTGATCTGTCTCCTTTCTCCTCCACTCTTTGACTCTTGTGAGGAACACCCCAACCGTGGCGTGTAAACAGTGAATATCACTTACCTGACCACATAATGAACGCATTTCGCGAGGAAGGCCGAAGTCTACCTGCTGTCAGTCGTACTAGGTTGTTTATTGGGTCACATATTTATGTAATGTTATAAATTTGTAGACAAATGATAAGTATTCAACAGTTGCGTCGATTCATTAAAATTTTATGGCAAAGTTAAACTTTAAGCACCAGTAACAACCAATCAGCAAACGACCTTGAACGGACCAATCACATGAAAGAGGCGTTTATGATAAGTGGTAATGTATATTCATATAAAAATGAATAAAAAATAGGATAAAACAATTACAACGGGTATCTTTCACGAACATGGGACAGAAACATTTCCCAATTCAGCATCGGACTGTCAATAGAAAAGTCGCACCACATTCTATGCATATATTCATCTAAATGACTATAAATGAGATCCTTTTGAGACCCATTTATAGCCCTTATTCTATTTTTCAATCGACCCCAAAATCCTTCAGTGAAATTTTTATGAGGCCTTGTAACTGGATCCACGAAATCACTGGAGTGGTTCACTCTGTGATGAATGTATTCCAGGGATGACAATGAATCATAGCCTTTCAACTGTTCTCCGTCTCGGCAGCAGCGGCTCTCACGGGCTGTTTCAGTACCCAGTAATTGCAAATGTACAAAATCTGGGTTAGGGAGAGATGCGACCTAGCAAAACAATTTCCTACGAAATATTACCCTCTCTTATAATAACTCGCTTCCAGCAAATTCCACAACGATGTACAGAACCATCAGTTGACCAAGTATAGCTTTTTCGAGTCACTATACCACCACACGAACAACTTCTCTCCTTTAGAAGCAAGCCTAAGTCCAGGAAATACTGAAAGACACTAACCTCCTCGAATTGCAAACGTAACCATGTAAGGGCACGCACTGAAATGAATCAAGCGCTATACAACATTGAACTACGTTCGTGAATCTCATTGGATAAATCGACGTCGTTCGCTGATTGGTAGTTACTGGTGCTTAAAGTTTAACTTGGCCAATTTTATTATTATCAAGGTGAATTTCGTTAAAAGCCGGTATTTGATAGAGAGCTGTTGAAAATTGAGAAAAGATGGATAGATAGCCGTCTGCCACGCCAGTATAAAACTAACCGTCACCTCACACCTATAATTCATGATATTGACGGTCAAATTGCAAACTGAGCATTTAATTACTATTGAGTTCGTAGGTATGAGTCCAACGAGTTATAAATTTCCTCGATCGATAGCTGCTACCCTGACGTGATAGTTGGGCTTACAAATAGGAATAACTCAACAATCTACAATAACTAGGATTCATGTTCCTACTCGTCGTCTGGATAGTGGTTAGATCAATAGCAGTTACCATCACATTGGGTTATAGTCACTCACACTTAATTGGGGTTCTAAGGGCAAAGTGATGCTACTGGGGAATAGAGATGCAACAGCAATAGAGTATTTCCTTCAGACAATCAGCAAGTCGGCTATACTGCCTCTGCACTATAGGGACAGAGTGGGTTAGAACAGGTCGACCCCGAAAATTCTGCATCCCGGTCTACCTTACAGTGCTCTGTAGTCGGCGGTAAGATCGTTGTATGGACACAATTCTGAATCCCACTTTAAACCGACCATATATGACCCGCCTCAAGCTGTTGTTCTCTGGGCTCTGCAGTTGTGTAAACTAATACTCCAAAGTAACACACTGGGTTTGAACCCCGTTGGTTGCGTACTAATGAAGTGTCCCAAACTAAAACGAAAGAGCTGTCCAGTACTCCCTGCAGGTTTTCCAATGGTTCTCTAACCAATGTCAGCTCATGATGAAATCCTGTAATACTCCAGTAATTCAAGGATGAACATACCTAATTGTACGTTAACTGTAACTGGTTTCGCTGGAGCAGTCAAACTGGCGAAATTCACTAGTGTGTCCTTATCTGTCGAATGTAAAATCGGGTTGGCTATGAAGAGAGACGGTGTACTTCTGCTATACACTGAGTACTCTTTTTCCTGTATTCTTTGGCAGGCAGTTGTGTGATTATTTTACTGATGTTATCACCAAGGGACTGTAATCATTTCTCTGGGACTGACTTGGCTTGGCTTGGGGCTGAATTCATAACGTACCTTTCTCGAATACCAGTTTTCACTCAGCAATTTTCGCTGTATATATCTTACAGTTTTTGTATATATAGTTAACTCTTATTGTTGTTGTATAACTAGACGCCCCGTTTCTTATTGTATTCTACTTCTTTGGATTATATAGCCCAATGTAAATGGAGATGGTGCATCAGTTAACAGTAATCAGAAGAGTTCAGTTAAATCAGGCAGTAATAATACAAATAACAATAGTAGTAATAATAATTTGTACTTATCAAAACATCTTCGTAAAATCTGTTTGGCTACTAAACCAGCGCCAATAATTAAATCACAATTTGAAGGTGAGTAGTAGTCATATTAGTTGTAGTTAGTTTATTTCACCCTGTAACCTATTTGATTCGATCCGATAAAAGTTTTCTACGCATTACTGAAACATTTATCGATTAGTTTTTTTCTTCATCCCTTTGCGTTTTGAGTGACACATAGAGAGGGCCTCATGCTTGAAGTTTCAATGACGCATTGGTGCTTCCTTTTACGGAGTGGGTTCGCTGGCCTCGCAACCACATCAACCCCTCACCTGTCACCTTAAGGTTACGAAATGACGCCGTTCAACAGTTCATCTCAATAATAACTACTAGTTGGATATCCCAAAGCTACACTGAGAAGTTCACCATGTCAAGTTGACGTGGGGGTGCTCATCAAAGGAGTTGGTTGACGGTAGCACTATGTGTCACTAATTGATAGAAGTTAAAATTCGTGGGTCATTGAATTCCCGCCCCCCCCTCCAAGTGGCTGAATGGTCAGCAAGCCTGGTTTGTTCACCTGAGAGTTACAGATCCTGCTCCTAGTGGTGTCATGTGTGCACACTGATGAAGAGCCTCAAACGAGAACGAAACAGCTGTCCAGTACTCCCCCTGGTTTTCTATATAACGGATGTTAGTTCATGACGAAATTTGTATTGGAGTGTTTAAATGTTTAGATTGCTTAGTAAGATAATTCTGCTGTTACCCTAATCTAATTCTTAACCCTTAACTTGACCTCATCCTTGACATCATACCGTTAACGTCAAGAACATTAAACGTTTGAAAGTAGTTAAATCAGATCGGTAGAAAGTTCTTGAAACGAACTGAGAACTTACACACTACATTCACCATTAGTAACATGATTGTCTGCTTATGATCATTTGTTGGCTGTTATAGATTACAATGGTAATAAAAATAATTATTATGATAATAATTAGACATGTGGCACTCGAACCCATGTGTCCCAGTCTCGAATCCCACCCCCCCCACCCCCACTTACTTCAACTTGGCCAATTGGACAGTATTATTAGGCGTGACATAAAAAGTGTGGCTCATATTCTAGCAGATGAGTACATTAGTGGTTCGATGGTAGAATGCTTGCTCACCACACCACACCTGGTCCTGGTTCAGGTTCGATTCCCGATCAACACACTCCAAAAGCTCTCTCAGCCAGTAGTAAGCCTGATAAAGACAGGATGTCGGGCGTAAGGTTAGCAATCGCATCCTGTAGACAAACAACAACCCAGACCCTGAAACTTCCCGGCTCAAGCTCGAAGGATGGGACATGTATATCTCTATTATAATTAGTAAATTCTCACACATCAAACTTCTCAGCTCTGTGCAAGTAACACCAATATAGGATACACTGATGATATATATCATACTTAGTAGATTCAGTATAGTGAATATTCGTGACTCCAGGAGTAATTTAAAAATCATATGCCATTGGATTCCGACCTAGTATCTGGATGTGAATCTTAGTATCCGTATAAATTCAGGTCTCTGTCGCTATGTCGGGGGTGGGGTGGGCCTTGTGGGTGATAAAGACCTTAGAACTAGAATCGAACAGAAAATGTCCAACACTCCCTAGTTTTTCTTACTATTGTTCGGTTACGTAACCTTTGTTAATGCAAAACTAAATTTCATTTGAAGAAAGAGAGAAATTCAAATGAACTGCACTCAGTAGTGTATCTAGGAGATTACGAAAGGTGAATGCAATTGTGCCAGTGAGAATGGCGGTTTCAAACCATATCATCGACAGTCTCCAACCTTTAATCCTTAGCATTCTGAGTATCTCGACAATGCACTCTACACCTGCCTATGTGATTGGCTTAAAATCTACTGCCAAAGACTTCATGGATTGATATCAGGTTTCTGCTTTCACTACACATAACTCTTTTCCAACCTATATCAATCCCATGGTGAGTGAGGAATAGAGAGGTTTTGCGTGCACTTTGGAGTGTGAGGGCGACTGTTACTTCCCGGCTGCCCACACCGTGGAAGTTGGTTGCGTGACCGCAGAGCCCAGGGGACAACTGCTTGAGGCCGGTCACACACGGCCTGTTTTTGTTTGTTGTTTTTTATTTGGTGTGCCTCAGTAGCGTATTTATCACTTCTGCCCTGTGACACGGCAGCAGAAAGCGCGGTCGTTGTTAATCCGGGCCCCGACCGATCCGGCATGATATTTTGTGATTTGTTTGAAGTCATTGGATTGGGTTGGGTAACTGCTTTTAGTCTAACCGCTATCCGAACAACCTTCCTGGCATGGTAGGACCTGCAGGAACATAAGTTCCAGCCAGTATAGCTTGTTGGGTCATTGCGGTGTTCAAGCCCGACCACCACGTCAAGGTAGCAGCTTTCGGTCGGGCATCCGGCTGTCAACCAAGGGACGTGTATACTGCTCATCAGTTCGCTCCGTCCTTCTCTATGGCGGTGAGACGTGGCCATTGAGAGCGGAAGACATGAAGAGATTGTCTGTTTTTGACCACAGATGTTTACGATCTCTTTCTCACGTTAGGTGGTATAATAAGGTAAGTAATGTTGACGTTAGGCGTAGAGTGTTGGGCAAAGAGGGAAAATCATTCGAAGAGGCTATGAAGTTACATAGATTGAGATGGTTAGGCCACGTGCTGCGCATGCCTGACCATCGTCTCCCCCGACGGGCATTACTAGCTGATATTGGGTGCAGGTTGGAAAAGAGTAAGTGGTGGCCAAACAAAAACATGGCCTCATCAATCCATGAAATACTTGACAGTTAAACTGAGTCAGGTAGGGAGATGCAGACTTCCGGGTTGGGGCCCGCCCTCGGGACTCTAAGAATCAATGGCTGGAGACAATAGGTGACATCGCTCAAAATCGATGTCAATGGCGCAGATGTTTTCAGTCTCTGTAATCTTTCATATTCCTTTCTACCATTACTCATTCTGTTTCAATCTTATACTTATCTAAATTCTATTGATTCTCTTCTCTCCTTTTCCTGTCTACCTTTGTGTGGTATTTGGAACGTGGCAACTCGAACTGCTGCACTTCGGTGCCAAGTTCTATGTTGAATTCAGTCAGTCAGTCAGTCAGTCATCAATCCCATATATTGATGAAAAATTCCCATTCGAACATTAATAGACAGAAGATCAGTAGTAGTTCAGCGAAGAGTCTCTTTTCGCCGGCGAATTTTCATAGCTGTACAGTCGCATATACATGCATGGTTGTTTTGCATGTGTGTGTACATAAAATTTGTCAAACGAAAATACAATTAATAAGTTCAGATGAATTGGATGTTGATATAAGAGGGTGGTAACAAAAGTGATGAGTTGTCACAAACGATTGTTAAAGAAGAGTTAAGTAATATGACATGAATAGTTTGATGAAAGAATTGTGCTCAGGGTGTACATGGAAACAAAATAACCTATGGAACTACGTAAGTTTTCAGTAGTTAGAAAAATAGGCATACAAACAAAAGTTAAGTCAAATCAACAGAGTTGTTACCATGATAGTAGAATTGACTGAATAATAGTTCTGATACTTCTAACTGAATGACTAGGGCTTCTGCAATTCAAAGAAGACGGAAACGTATTGTCTTTGGCAGGTTGTTCCTCACTTTGTAGATTACTTTGAAGAAGGAGGCGTTTGTTGAGATGAAATGACCAGTGTTGACGAGATGTTCGATTATTGCACTCCTCATACAGTCACTACTTTTTTTCTGCAGCGGCGCTGGATACTGTTCTTTGACCCTTTTTGACAGGATGCGCGTCGAACGACCGATGTACCTGGCTCCACAGCAACATGTGAACTGATATATACACATAGAAGTGGTCAGGTGCGGGATCTTGTCCTTTGGACTTCTGTAGATCAGCGGGCGACTGGAGAACACTACTCTCAATGTTGCCGCAAGGAAATTTCTTCTTAAAGAAGTGGAAATTCTCCTCTTAAGGACATCACTGAGTAGGTCACCTTTGAAGTCGAGGTTCATATAAAGTATCTTTTTTGGCACGGATGGCGTCTCTTGCTTTTGGATTTTCTGTTTGATGTTTTTGTCTACGAATCTTGATGGATAACTGTTTTGTATGAAGATTTCTTTCACGAAGTGTAGTTCTTCTTCCAGGGTATCAGACATGCAGATGAATTGGAAGGGAGTACCAAGAGGACCAATAAGGTTTCTTTTTCGACTGTAGAAGCTTGTCAGTTGGCCGTTCCATGTGGGTTTCCTATGGATGGACCTTCTTAAAGTTCCGTCAGCTCTCCTTGTACGTTCAACATCAAGAAAAGGAGTTTTAGATTCGTTTTCAATTTCAAGAGTGAACTTTATAGCTGAATGGCATTTGTTGAATATTTGTAGTAACTGATTAAAATCGTGACCATCATCACATATGATAATAAAGATGTCGTCCACAAATCTAGCATACATTTGAAAATTATCAGTAGTTGTTTTGAGTTGCCCGTTCTCGAGGTCTGCCATGAAACAGTGTGCTAGCAATGGGCAATGGGCTCAGTGGAGATCCCATTGCGATCCCATCTTGTTGTCTGTAAATATGATAGTTGAATGTGAATTGTACATTAAGTGTACATCTCACTAGTAGTTCTTTTAAACAAGTCGTCGGTAATCCGATGTCCAGGTAGTTTTCGTCTATATATTGACAGATTTAACAGACAGTTCAAATGAACTGTCGTCAAGATTTGACAGAATAGTTCTAAAATATTTGGGCGCCTAGTGAGAAATAGACATTTGTAAAAAATTATATTTGTAAAATCTCAGCGAGATTGAAATGAGTAATTCCAACGTCTAATCATAATTTTGAAAATACGTCTAATCATAAAATTCTAGATACTAACAGTTTGAACAGAAATGAAGGCGTGATGTTAGCTGATGCATGGGAATTCCTGATTAATAAATAAAAACGGATATGTATCACTTATTAATCATACTTGGTCAAAATTCCCGACTGTCTATATCTTCTTATGGAAACGTTAAGAAATGTTTTACAACTGTTTACCCACACACACATACACACTCTGTTTAAAGTGTTTAACAAAGGTAGACCAATATTTGTAAGTCCGAAGTCAAATTTTGATCACAGCTCATAAAATTTTGTTTATTATACTTGTTGGTACTTGTTTTGTAACTCCTGATTGGACAAAACTTTTAAAAACAAGTGAGGTTCCTTTTATATACATAAACCTCTGTTATGTTAATTTCGATTAATTTCCCTGAAGAAGTTCGGACCAAATTGCCGAACGAAACGTTGGAATTACTCATTTCAATGTCGCTGAGATTTTACAAATATAATTTTCTAACAGTTTCTGTAAGTGGAACGTTGGTAAATAGTGACTCAGTGTCAGGAGAGAGAGAGAGCATATTTTTGTTCGTTACATTGATATCTTGTGTATAGTCGACGAATTGAAAGGTGTCACGAAGAGAATAGTGGCACATCTGTTTTCGTACAGGTTCTACTATCATGGTAACAACTCTGTTGATTTGACTTAACTTTTGCTTGTATGCCTATTTTTCTAACTACTAAAAACCCTTACGTAGTTCCGTAGGTTATTTTGTTTCCATGTACAGTACACCCTGAGCATATGTCTTTCATCAAACTATTCATGTCATATTACTTAACTCTTCTTTAACAATCGTTTGTGACAACTCATCGCTTTTCTTACTACCCTCTCATATCAACATTCAATTCATCTGAACTTACTAATTGTATGTTCGTTTGGCAAATTTAATGTACACACTCACATTCAAAACAACCATGCATATATTTGGGATTGTACAGCTATGAAAATGAATTCGCCGGCGAAAAGAGACTCTTCGTTGAACTACTGATCTTCTGTCTATTCATCCTATATATATCATTTAACATTACTCGTCGAGGGAAGCGGTAGTTCAACACATACAACACTTATTCTGCGCATTTCAATCGATTTAGCTGCAAAATGTTATCGCGATTGACTTACCCTTCTTACCTGACACTCAATGGCCATGTCTTGCAGGCATCAATCCATGAAATCCCTGACAGTTAAACTGAGTCAGGTATTTTTTATTATTTTGATTACAGCTTGATTCCACACCGTATTTTCAGTACAAGTATGGAATTTTCAGCATGGATATCGGTAGCCCAAATTTACAGGCCGACCATAGATATCGGTTGTGCGCCGGCAGGTGATCGAACCCCGGACCATGTGCATGATCGGCGAGAGTCCTAACCACTGTGCCACCGACGCACAAGCGGAGTGCGTCGGCCGGGAATCGAACCCGGACCGCCCGCGTGGCAGGCGAGCATTCTACCATTGCAGACTTCCGGGTTGGGGCCCGCCCTCGGGACTCTAAGAATCAATGGCTGGAGACACTAGGTGACATGGCTCAAAATCGTTGTCAATGGCTACGCAGATGTATTCATTCTCTGTAATCTTTCATATTCCTTTCTACCATTACTCATTCTGTTTCACTCTTATACTTGTCAAAACTCTATTGATTCTCTTCACTCATTTCTTTGTCTACTTTTGTGTGCTATTTGGAACGTGGCAACTCGAACTGCTGCACTTCGGTGCTAAGTTCTATGTTGAATCCAGCAGCAGCATAAAGCAAGACAGAGTGGTCTGCTATGCAGGTTATGTCGTCTTCGGTAGAGATGATGTAAGTTGGTGAATGGCACACGAGTATTAGAAGATTTCTTTAGAAATTAGTCGATTTCAGCTCACTAAATCAGTGAAGTGATTAACAGACTCAACCACTTCACTATGCTTTGCAGTCTCGTCTTTTATTTGACAGGAGCGAATCACATGTCAAGCATTCCAAGATTTCTGCGCAAGGTTTTCAGAAGACTCTACTGGATTTTGTCAGCGTCTTCGCCTAGCAGGACAATATCACCCGCGTAATCTAAGTCAGCAAGACGGTGCGCTGGTAAAAAGTCAAATCGTTAGTCACTAAATGTCAGTTAGGGTCAATTCCATTAGTACAGAAGCGAGGACAGTGGACATCTTTGATGTACATGGCTGGTTGTTGTTGTTGCAGTTTCAGATGACAAGCGAGTATACGGCGGCATGTATTCAAGTAGAGTGTTTTGATAAGTGCGACATACTTGCTTTGTGGTGAGAGCAAGCTGCTAGCCAATTGGTAGACATTGATCTACGCTGATTGGTAGAAATTAATCTAGGCTGATCCAACAACCAATCAAGGACCTAACGTGGACAAATATGATTCGCAGACAAGTGGCTCGCATTTCCGAAAAATATCGAAAACGAGAAAGCGGAAGACTGCGTTTGTTTGCAAACAACCAATCAGAAGACCGCCTGCTTTCTGCGAGCAGAAGCCTATTAATGTACGTAAAATACATATAAATACCTGTTGGTTTTCGTAATAAAACTGATCTGTCGCCAGCCTTGTCTTCTATTGTTACAGCTTGGCACTCCATTCGCGACCACACGTGTTGCCATATCACCTCTCGGTTAATGGAGAGGTCAAGATATATGACAATTATTGGAATGCCGATAAATATTATCTATGTTCTAAAATCTGTCGAAGGGTGAATGAATTTATGCTCAATACACACTCTTCTTAGCCTAAAGTCTTCTTGGTTTCTATGGGTTCCTTTCTCCAGTGCATAACTTAGTCAGCGTATGATTATTGAACCTAAAAGTGTGTAGTCATGCATATCCCCCTTATTTCTCTTCTTATAAACTGGGAACAACTATTTCATATTTCCCTCTCAACAATACCTCGATGTGTGTTGTTTTCTCCTTTGCGCTCATTTTCTTTTTTGTTTTTAGATAAATCCAACTATCGATTAGGTACATTATCGCATATACTTCATCGTCGTGTATCTGGTTATCGAGATCTCTCAGACTGGCCAATAGTACCACCAGATCCATGGTCACGTGTTGTTGTTACACCGACCGTTTCGAAAGTGAATGATAATGATAACGACATCTCAGGGATGAATTCACCAAGATCACTTAACACTAATCATAGTAGTAATAACAATAATAATAGTAATAATAATACAAATACAAATATATTTGATGAACACCGGCAAAAGCGGCAACAAAAAACTGATCGTTTCGGTAATCTATCGTTGGATGACTTCTTCTCAGAGACAGAAGATGATGATGATGACGATGAGGGGGAGGAGCAGGAGGAGGATGATGAGAACAAGGTGGTTGATGGCGATGAGGAAGGGGACGAGTCTACGACTGCAGAAAGAAAAGTGAAGAAGAGAAAAGCTAAAGATGCTTTGTCGGTAAGCTTTCTCTTTATTTTAAAAAATTTTATCATATCAACTAGTTAACTTCACTTAGAATAAAAAAATCGATCGATAAATGCTTCAAGGTGTACCTCTCTGCATTAGAGAATAGTAGTGTTGTAACGACAAAAGACAAAGGGGCCAGACAACATATCATTTATTGAGAAAATCAACAGATATTTATAGATTTTTATGTACATTATTGTTAGCGTCATTGTTAGCAGAGAAGCAAGATCATTCTGATTGGTTGTTTTCTTGCTCAAGGTTATTCTGTACTGCTTGTGACCGTTTCTTAGAAAGTTAAGCCATATATCTGCGAATCGTATTCACACACGTTAAGTCTGCTTGTGATTGGTTGTTGGGTTCCTTAGGGTTAAACTTTGTTATTGTTTTTTCTCATGACCCCGATTCGGGATGTTCAACACTGACGTAAATTGTTGTGTAGAATTTTGGCTTGCAGCCCGCTCTCACCACAGTAGTAATAGTGATAAAAAGCCTTTTTCTATGTAATTTGTTATGGCGAAGTAATTCCATTACGTTTTCTTTGTTATCATTGTTATTATTATTATTATTATTATTCCACGCATTGTATACTCAGTCATTTTACGATGACGATGAAGAAGTTGCTTCCGATGAGGAATTCACCAGTAACGATGAAGAGAATGCCGACGACAACAGTGGAACAGAAGAGGAAGAGGAAGCCATGAGGATGATGACTCTGATTCTGACTTCGATTTAGAATATTTAATTCGATCAAAACAACTGACGAATACGCAAAACTCCTTGAAAGAACAAACATCACCATCACCACCGTCAGCCTTGAATTTAAAAACGGCTAACACGCCTAGCAACGGTGATAATTCCAACAGTTTACGAGAAGGTAATGCTTCTCTCTCACAGAAGCTGGATAATGAATTACAAAGCATATCAATGAAACAAGATTTAAACAGTTGGTTAAATGCTCAATCTTCATCGAGTGATTCCAGCGATAATGATGATGATAATGATGGTGGTGGTGACATAACAGCTGGAATAGATGACAGTGGTGAGAAGAAGATTACTGAACAATTAGTAAGTAACCGTGTTTTGGAAAACTTGATATTTCTTTTCTCTTCATTTGCATGGACATCTTTGATCACTAATTGATGCCATTTAGAAAGAATCACTGAAAACCAAGAGGGCGTACTGAACACCTGTTTCGTCCTAGTTTGGGACTCATCGGCAGTACGCATCCATCACTCCACCGGAGTTCAAACTTAGGAGCCTCCAGTTAGCAGGCAAGCTCGTAGGCCATTCGCCCACTGGGACCCTGTGGGTGTGTACTGGTGAAGAGACCCGAACTAAGGCGAAACGGCTGTCCAGTACTCCCTCATGGTTTTCAGAGGTTCTCTCACTGATACCAATCCATAATCAAAACCTGAAACAAATGAAATCCCTACAAATTGACTCTTGGAAATTCATTTTAGTGCTGTATTTATGGATGTGTTACCACTAACTCACATGTTTTGAGCTGTAATGGTTTATTCACATACACCTTCCTCCTGCGTACCTCAAATATTTCACCTTTAAAATTTTACGTTTTTAAAAACATTTATGTTGTCAATAGCAATAATTCCCTAACTATTATAGATTTATAACTATAGAACTTCGAGAAGTTATCGAAAAGAATATTATTATATTCACTAATCATAATAATGATAGTAATAATAATAATAATCAATGGTTAGTCAAATTGCGTAATACTAAATAGTAAGGGAAGCATATGAATTGTGTTTTCAAGTTAGGTCGCCTACTGGCATCAGTTAGAGAGCCACTAAAAATCAGCTGGGGGTACTGGGCTGGACAGCTATTTCGCTATAGTCTGAGACTGTACCTCCAGTGGTATTCATGACTTTACCATCGAGAACCGAATCCCAGGAACTTCAGGTGGTTACAAGATGAGCTCGTTGACCATTCAGCCACTGAAACAGAATTCAATGGCCAGCTCAGCTGTTATCCCGGTTTTCAGTGATTCTCTGACAGATATCAATCTGTGGGCGCACGATTGTAGCTAGTCAGATGCCTACAAACTAACACTTGGGAATTTTAACTTTTGATAACAAAGTTCTTTTCGTGTATGGTTGACTTTTTTTTATCTCCCGTTTTAAGTGGTGGTATAATAAGGTGAGCATTATTGAGGTTAGCCATCGATTGGAGATCAACAGCACTGCTCAGCATGAAAAACAAGATCCGGATTTTCAACTTCAATGTGAAGTCAGTGCTACTTACTATACGGATCAGAGACTAGAAGGGCATTTCGAACACACTACAGACCTTCATCAACATCTATCTTCGCTCAATACCACTCAAGATCAGATTGTCGGCCAAAAAAGATCGACAACAGGGATCTCTGGCAATGAGCGAATCAACCCAGCAGGAACCAATTGTGCAACAAAAATGCAGGAAGAAATGGAGGTCGATTGATGGCCTTACTCTGAGGAAACAAACCATCATTAAGTAACATAACACACCAAGCTATAGTTGGAGTGGAACTCAAATGGGAAGCAGCCAGTTGGCCAGCAGTGCGAGGGTGACATGAAGGAGGAAGTCATGAAAGAGAGAATTGAAAGCATGTGAGCAGATGTGGAGTAAGGTGAAAACTTTGGCGGAGAACCGAACGCGCAATGTAGACGTGCGCCTGAAGCCCTATATTCCTCTAGGAACTAGAGGAAATAATAATCGGGTGATAGGTTGGTGGGAGAAGGAATCAATCGACGAGGTTGTGAAGTCACATAGATTGGATTAAATTGAAAAAGAGCTAGTGGTAGTAAAAACAAAACATAGCTTAATCAGTCGATGAAATCCTTGACACTTAGTTTGAGCCATCTACTTAGTTAGGTGCAGACTTCCTGACGACTGGTTGGGGTTCTCGGGATAGTGACAGTTGTTTGTGATATGTCTCAAAATCGTTTTTAATGGCTAGCGCAGATGTATTCACTCTTTGTGGTTTATCATATCGAATAAAACTATGGTTCTTCCATATTATTATTCTTTTTGCCTCACTCACACTTCTGTGTATTATCTCTCTCTCTCGCTCTCTCTTTTGAATCTCTCTTTACTCTCTTCTCTTGCTTTGTGTACTGCATGGAGGGAGTTTGACAACTCGAACTGCCGCACATCTGTGCAAAGTAGTTCTCAGTTGAATGCAGTTAGTCAGTTGGCGACTGTTGACTTTCAGTGGACAGTGTATAGTCTGGGCATTATTTTTAGAAATTCATATAAAGTAGTAGAAATGTGTACCGAAGTCATTCACATTAAGTGAAATCGATGCAGAAACAATTTCAATAAGGGATTAGGAAGATGAATATTATTGAGACATGCGTCGGTGGCACAGCGGTTAGGACTCTCTCTGACCTTGCACATGGTCCGGGGTTCGATCCTCTGCCGACGCACACCTGATATCAATGGTTGGCCTGCAAAATTTGGGCTACCGATATCACATGCTGAAAATTCCATACCTGTACCGAAAATACAGTGTGGAATCAAGCTGTAATCAATAAAAAAAAATAAATAAAATAAAAACGTCATCGCATTTAGTAGTTTCTTTACGGTAGCTTTACGACTAACATGATTGACAATAACTGAATTGTAACAACAGAAGACAAGGGCCAGGCAACAGATCGTTTATTTAGGAAATCAATAGATATTTATAAATTTTCCTCTACATTATTATAGATTATTGTAAGCAAACAAACACAGTCTTCTGATTGGTGGTTTCTCGTTGAACGTTAATCTTTCATCTCTTTGTGGCTATTTCTTGAAGTTCAGCTTATCTATCTGCAAATTGTATCCGCCTGCGCAAAGTCTGCTGTGATTGGTTGTTGAATCAGTCTCTGTATTTTTGATTGAACACTAGCCAGTAACTAGTGTAATGTGTATAGTCCTATCTTCGGTGCAGTCCTCCAAGGTTGCAGATACGCCTTGCTGATGAGTGCCAACTAGCGCGAAACCTAGGTCCAAGGCTTCCTGCCGATTGCCTCCAACCATCTAAGAGCAACAATTCACAGTGCACCGTAATGGCGAGCCACCTAGCATGGTGGCCACATTGCAAACATGACTGATAGAATTCAGTCTGCACCGAAGATAGGACTAGACACATTACACTAGTTACTGGCTAGTGTTCAATCAAAAATATCCAACACAGTCCTACAGGAGGTCAGTCGCGAGCCTGAATGGCTCAGTGGTAACGTCTCTGACTGCAGCACTGGGTGACGCGGGTTCGAATCTCAGAAGGGACATCAGTTCCTTCAAGGTTGCAGATACGCCTTGCTGATGAGTGCCAACTAGCACGAAACCTAGGTCCAAGGCTTCCTGCCGATTGCCTCCAACCATCTAAGATCAGTCTTTGTTCTTATTATTCTCACGACCAATATTGGGGACGTAAACATTTAGGTAAATACCTGTCTACCGATTTGGCTGGCGGCCAGTTGTCATTACAGAATCACAATGTTTGACAATTATTCAGTCAAATAATAATAAAATTGTATCGGATGAATAACTAACCGTATTTTTTATTGGGTCAGTTGAGTCCACGGTAGGCGAAATTTGAAGTTTATCGTCCTCCCTATACACACATAGTTTGAGATATAGGTGATAAATCCCCTGAAGTGCTTCCATCACCTTTAATAACCTTGAATTAAAGTTATGATTGAGAATAATTGAGAAACAGTCGTTAATATCCATTTTGTGACAAGACAATAATAAACGCTTTACAATGCATGTTGGTGGATTTCTATTCCGATAAAGTATATTAGTATTTTCTATGTAACTTAATAATTATTTAGCTATATACATGTTCTTTAAAACGACATTGCAACATTCTGTTGGTTCTATCCAACATATGCTCCACTACAACTGTAGGTAAAATATTTAGAAATAGTGTGAAGTAGAGTCCATAGAACTGCGCCCTTTAATCACGGGCGCAGAAATCGAAAATGTTCGACATGTAAGGAAAAGTGATATAGCGTAGAATCTACGTGTTTGATAACTGACCAAACAAAGCCTTCGAGCTGTCAGCTGCAGGTCAATTAAAAGACAGCTTGAAGAATATTGTGGTATATATGTTAGTTTGTCTGCCTGAATCTATCCACCTTATGTGAATAATAACGATAACACCTTAAGGAAAATTGAATAAAAATATCTCATGGACGTCTTCCAAAAGAATGGATGTCCACGGAATTTCATCAAAAGACCCCCAAGCCAATCTATCAAACCAAAAGCCCCCAAGGAAAGCACAAAGAAAATCGCCTTACCATATATAAAGGATATCTCAGAAATCACTACAAGACTCTTCAAACCTTTAGGAATCGACGTTGTACACAAACAAACAAATTCACTTCACTCAATTCTATGTCAACCAAAAGACTCAACAGCGAAGGAAGATAAAACCAACATCATCTACAAAATAGCTTGTATCAACTGCGAAAAACACTACATTGGCCAAAGTGGACGTCCCCTTCGTCTTCGTATCCACGAACATAAGCTAGCTGTCAAAAGACACTATATCCACTCCCTCATATCACTGCATACACACAACCACGGACACCGATTCGACTGGGACAATGTTCAAATATTAGACAGAGGAAACAACAAGAATGCTAGAGAATTTTTAGAAGCCTGGTATTCCAGTGAATCGTCAATCAATAGACACATCAAGATAGACAAAATTTATCAACCGATAAGAAAGAAACCTCACACACAAAGGGTCAAAGTTCAAGTCAAAGAAACAATCAGTTCCAATACAAGTAACCTAGAAGATGTGAAAACTCACAAAAGCAACCAATCATGTCCAGGGTCACCAGGAGAGATGATTAATAAACTTGTGGAGAAATCTGAAAGCTCACTTCAAATTGAAGTATGCTCTAAAGACGTCGAATAGTAGGGCGATGAAAGCTTCGCAAATTAACTATCCAGCCCAGAGAACATAACCACAACAAAATAACGCTTTATTTTTGACAATATGTGAACCTTTGATGATATTAGATAGTTGGAGGCAATCGGTCACAGGAAGCCGCCTTGGATCTACGT